GCAATTCAGGTGTTAGTTTGTTTACAATCTTCTGGGATTTACTGAACTTCAACTTGAGACCATAATACTCAATTATCAGTAATGTCAATAAGTTCAACTGATCCATCTTTTGCAGTGATAAGCAAATATGAATCTTAAAATCCAAATAAATACATGATAGTCTTACAAGCATCCTGTGTAAAATTATAGAGCAACTAATCTGTAAGCGAATTATTGATCACATGGACAGACAGAATATATTCAGCAACCAACATCATGAACATATTGACTTTATGGGTGGTAGCTATATATAGATCAACTTCACTTCAGCTGTTTAAAGTTCTAAACAAGTGGACAAAGGTATCAGATGATCAGTCAAGGGACCTATTGAAATAAGTGATTTTTAAATCACTTATTTAAGTAGCAAATTTGAAGTTTTGTCACAAATTTTGATTTTGTAGTTTTACCAAAATTATAAACACATAGATTTAGATAATATCTTTTCATTAGTAAAATTGAAAAAAATGAACTTTTTGCTTCTTTTAAGCAGCAAGGTTTATGCCTTTGATGCAATCATTTAGCTGCAAATTCTATTTTAGTTGAAAAAATGCTATAAAAATGGCTTTACATAATGAACTGATATTTTCTTAACAGATTTTTCCCAGCAGTGGGCAGACAACAATGCGTACAGGTCAATGGATCAAGATCAGGAATGTAACCAGTAGAATTCCACCTGGCTCTGTACTGGGACCAATTTTAATCGTTCTTTTCATCAACGAAATTTCCAAACAATGCAATTTCAGTTGTGTCAGAAATGCAGCTAAAGGTCGGACTGTCGGCCCAAGGGGACAGAAGTTGAACAGGTTCCGGCAAATGGGGCTTTTGTGCAAGACCTAGTGACCAGCAGGTGTTTTGACAGCCTGGGTCCGGCAAAAGTTAATATCTGTCAAGTCCTAAAATAACTTTTATCAAGCAAATCCTTTCATCTTTCAATAAAATGCTCCGCAGGGCGCAGCTTGATACGACCGCAGAGGTCGAACCCTGAACAGTTGGGGCAAGTATGGACACAACATTCAAGCTTGATACAGCTTTGCATTTGGATTGTGATTAAATATTTAACACAGCATAGGTTTCTGACACAGAATGAATGTGGTCTAAGAACTTAAAAATTTTAAATTGGACATTCACCTATTATGGTCCAATATCCAAAATCTAAATACATGGTTAGATTCAGCATATCAAAGAACCCCAAGAATTCAATTTTTGATGAAATCAAACAAAGTTTAATTTTGGACTCTTTTGACCTCAATGTGGACAAAGTTGATAACGGGGCCCAAAAATCAAAATACATGGTTAGATTCAGCATATCAAAGAACCCCATATATTCAATTTTTGTTGAAATCAAACAAAGTTTAATTTTGGACCCCGATTTGGACCAACTTGAAAACTGGGCCCATAATCAAAAATCTAAATACATGTTTAGATTCAGCATATCAAAGAACCCTAAGAATTCAATTTTTGTTACAATCAAACTAAGTTTAATTTTGGACCCTTTGGACCTTAATGTAGACCAATTTGTAAACGGAACCAAAAATTAAGAATCTAAATACACGGTTAGATTCGGCATATCAAAGAACCCCAATAATTCAATTTTTGATGAAATCAAACAAAGTTTAATTTTGGACCCTTTGGACCTCAATGTGGACCAATTTAAAAATGGGGCCCAAAATCCAAAAACTAAATACACGGTTAGATTCAGCATATTAAAGAACCCCAAGAATTTAAGAATAAAACCCCATTGAAATTGGTCAAGAAATAAGCAATTTATACAAAGTATCTTCTTTTGCACAATACTGTGCAATTAAATATTTCTTGCTATTGCGCAATACTGTACAATTGACAATTTCTTGCTATTGCGCAATATTGTGCTATTGGATATTTCTTGCTATTGCGCAATACTGTGCAATTGAAGATTTCTTGCTATTGCGCAATACTGTGCAATTGAAGATTTCTTGCTATTGTGCAATACTGTGCAATTGAAAATTTCTTGCTATTGCACAATACTTATCATATAATAATTTACACATCCTGTTTGGTGTGTATCTCCTACCATATTATTATTATTTGCTTTTAAATATAAATCAGAAATAACCAACTTAAAATGGAAAATTTTAAAAGAAAAAAAAAAAAATGAAAAAAAAAAAAAATCCCCCCCCCCAAATTTTTTGAACCCCCTTATGATTCATCACCCCCAAACTCAATCCCAGCCTTCCCTTTGTGGTATGGTACCTTACAGTACAATTTCAGAGAGATCCATACACTTACACACAAGTTATTGTCCTGAAACTAGAAAAATGCTTGTTTTTTGCCCCTTTTTGGCCCCTAATTCCTAAAATATTGAGGCAATTACCCCCATCATCAATCCCAGCCTTCCCTTTGTGGTATGGTACCTTGCAGTAAAATTTCAGAGAGATCCATACACTTGAACACAAGTTATTGTCTGGAAACTAGAAAAATGTGTTTTTTGGCCCCTTTTTGGCCCCCAATTCCTAAACGTTTCAGCAATTACCCCCAAACTCAATTCCAGCTTTTCCTTTGTGATATGGAACCTTGTAGTACAATTTCAGAAAGATCCATGCACTTACACACAAGTTATTGTCATGAAACTAGAAAAATGCTTGTTTTTTTGCCCCTTTTTTGGCCCCTAATTCCTAATATTTTGAGGCAATTACCCTCAAAATCAATCCAAGCATTCCTTTTGTGATATGGAACCTTGTGGTACAATGTCAGAGAGATCCATACACTAACACACAAGTTATGTCTGGAAGTTACAAAAATGCTTATTTTTGGCCCCTCTTTGGCCCCTAATTCCTTTACTGTTGGTACCATAACCCCCAAAATCAATCCCAACCTTCCTTTTGTGGTATTGAACCTTGTGGTAAAATTTCATAGAGATCCATTCACTTAAACTAAAGTTAGAGTGCGAAAACCAATGTGTCTTCGGACGACGCCGACGACATACCAATATACGACCACAAAAATTTTTTTGCAGTCGTATAAAAATTGTCCAGTAAACATTTCTGTTCCCATCTCGGTCACTTAATCTGGGGAACCTGTTCATATTCCGGAATTTTTTTCATATCTCCTCCAGTAAAAATATTTAGTATATTTCTCTTGTTTTCGGTAGCATCGCTGAATGGCCAATTTAATTTACGGAGGGGTCTAAACCCAGTAAAAAAACGATCTTATCTTGTTTTAATTGATATAAATGTAAATGCAAGCGAAAACACCAAAGCGAAGCGGGTAGCTTATGAGAAGGAAAAACGACCCTGAGTGGTCGATTAACCCCAAATGGAAGAAAGGTCGTCCTTGGTATGTTATGAAATGTGTTATATGTATAGAACATTCCAAGCATACACAATTACAAATCAACCTTAAACAGAAGTTCCAGTTCATAACTGGATGCTCAAATTTTAAATTGAGTGCAGTAACTGACCATGAAGAGTAAGGGGCATGTGGATTCCTGTATTGTGCATCAAGCCAAGGAAAAACCAAAAGAAACACAGGCACTAAACTCTTTTGACTTTAAATGAAAACGTACAAACACAATTGAATTTTAAATTTTGAAACATCTATGCCGTGATTAAAAATAAACGCCCCATATCTGACTACCTTTGGTTAAATGAACTCGATCAGGCAAAGGGCCTTGAGCATGGTGATTCATATAATAATAGGTTCTCAGGAACATTTTTCTTGGAAAACATTTCAAAGGTTGAGAAGGACAATTTAATGAACCTTATAGGCAAAGTAAAGTTTTTTTCTTTGACAATGAAAGGGTCAACAGATGACTCTGTCAAACAGCAGGAAACTCTTTTTGTACGGACTAGTCACAAGGAAAAATCATAACCTGGTATGTGTGCATTGGGGAGCCAGAGTCTACATTTGAAGAATGATTTATAGTAGTTGTAATGTATTATGTAGTATACATGTTATAAAAAAATTTGTAATATGAAGACTGTCTGCAAAATCTTTAGCTTCCAACCCTTTGTTACCACTGTTTATGAGGTGATATAATAGAAGTCTACAAGCTATTGACAGGATTATATGATGAGAGAAACCAGTGATTTATTAGAGATGCACAACACAAGTAAATCAACAACAGGTCATCCAATGAAACTGAAGAAACAATAAAGTCTTCTAGATCTAAGGAAGTATATTGTCACCAATAGACATGATAGAGTTGTTGACATATGAAACAGCCTCCCTGAAGAAGTTATTTCAGGTAAAACTTTAAACACATTTGAAAACAGAATAGATAAATTTTGGGCCAACCAACTGTTAATATATGATTTTGAGGCAGAATATGAAATTTTATCCAGAAGTGAGAACAAACAATTAATTACAATCATGTTGACAATGACGATGAAGTACAGCAGAATATAAAGGTACAACAGTGCCAGCCTTCTGAAGATCTATAGGTAGGTAGGTAGGTATAGGAATAATATACATGTAGGTGTTGCCAGGCCCTTAAACTTTTTCTGTTGCACAGGTTTGTCTGTATAAGGGGTAAATTTTTGCATGTTAACAAAGCCATTTTGGTATTATAGTTATGACAAGCATTGAAGGAAAATGATTATTTGTACCCTCTAACAACAGGTCTGGTCTCCCAATAATTTGTTTCCCTCAAATATATCTGACTTGCAGGGGTCCATTCCAAAAATTTGTAATTTATGCAGATTTGAAGAGATTTGGAAGACGTTACGGAGACCACAATCATCATGAATGTACCCCGCTTAGCTGGAGGTTAGATGAAACATCTCTAAACTTCTATGATTTACATGTCTGTATTAGCAATTGTTTTGATGTGCGTTTTTTGTGGAACTGCAACAATTTTACGTTTGTTTGGATCAGATAGGGCTAGTTAGTAGGTGCTTTGTTCGGGTCAAATTTTCTTCACTCTGATGCGAAAGATGGACATAAGAAACAGGTCGTTGGCAAGCCTATGCACTGGTTGTACTTACCAACATTAAATTTCTGTGAAATTATTTGTTTCTATTGAATATCTGCGAATGTTTACAACATCAAATTATCAAAAGATTTCCTTTCCTCTCCAATATGGCTACGCCTACGCATGCGCCTTGTGTTTTCAATGAAACAGTGAACACACGACTTTTTGAGTAAAACAGATCACATGATGTATTTTTCAAATGATGGATGCATAGTATATACCAGTTTGTATTTATCTGTAGTCTTTACAAATTAGTATAGTCGCACCTTTTCCAGGTTTATAAAATTGTATGACGTCACCGGAAATCGAGACAGTCAGAAACTCTCTAAAAATAGGAAAAGGAGGTCCGATAAGGGGATTCAATCTAGAGGCCAGAGATGTAAATTGGGGCTACCTCTCATTTTTGTGCGCAATGTACAATGTTACGAATGAAATTTATTTTAAAACCAATGAAACTATTAATTTGAAAGGTGGGAACTATCAATTTGCAGCTATTTATTTCTACTATATCACAGTTGTTTGACTCAACCCTGAGCGGAACACCCTGTTATAGTAGTCTCAGTTCAACCTAAGCATCGCTCTTTTGTCACAATTTGTTTGATGTTACACTATCATAATCTAATTTCAAAATCTTTCCATAGATCTTGGGTCGCAAATGTCCGCAAATGATCGGTCCTGAATTTAAATAAACTAGTATTGGCAATCATACCACATTTTCTAATTTTTATATTAAGCAAATTTCGATGCAGCTTTGTGCTTTTCGATTAAGTGACTGTTAAATTTTAAGTTTACTCTATTGGTAGTTTATTTTACAAAAAAAAAACAAAAAAAAAAAAACGAAATAGAAAAATGATTCAATCATTCAACCTTTTAAAGTTTCTTAATTAGGGGAGTCTACTCAGATTATTTTTTTATGTATGTTCAGTAAAATTTATATATTTTGCAATATAGAGGAAACACGAGATTAGCGGTGACGCATTTTTTTTACCTTAAATCATCAGAAAAATCAATGATTGAACTAATTAGTTTATGCTAATCAATACCGGATTTCACCTTGACCCCGGGGTCGCCGAATATCAGGTACCCCCCCCCCCCCCACCCTCCCCCCCCCTTATTTAGTTTTGGTTATTATTTTCTTTTTGTTACTTTTATAATATGTTCTTCCGTTCATTATTGATTTTTAACAAAGTAAAAATTCTAATATACACGTATTTTTTAATTACATGACCTACGCTGTGCAATTGAAAATAAACATATATAAAGAGGAAGCTGCATATGATTAATGCACAAAGTATATACATTGCATACACTATGTTGATGTTAAGAAACAGTACTGAATCATTAGCAATTATAAAAAGAAACACTTGATTCATTACAAAACATTATTTGGTGTCGTTTTATTTAAGCATATTTTTACTACACGCATGGTTTAAAGCCGGTCACATGAAACGAGTTTCTATAGCAATTATATTGTTAATACAAATGATTGAACCAATGTGTGCAAATAGACTAAAATGAATCCTATGTACATATTTTATTTTACATTTACTAATGATGATGATGATGATGATGATGATGATGATCATTGTAGATCCGGAAAACTTTGGCTTCTGATTAGCTGACGGGTTATGGAGCCGAAGTTTACCGATCGTGTCCTAGACTAACAATCAACGCATAATCATGGAGCACGTGTATAATAAGTAAGACGACAGATCGATGTTTACTTGTTTTATTTTATTATTTTTTTTTACATGCGTTCCAATTTGTAAATTAAAATTTGTTATGACAGTTGTTAATGATTTGGTGTATCATTATTTTTTTTCTTTCAGAATCGGTTAATACTGTTTTCCTTCACCGTTTGTTTACTTTTTCATCACGGCTTTCCCTTCAAACCTGCGCTGTGCTATTGCCGACAAGTGCCATAACTTAGGGAACTGCATACGGAAGAGTTGTCGGTGAATTAGAGTACGGGAAGACATATTTAATAATAGCTACTAGTGCATTTCTGAAGATTTTGATAAGATAAAGGATTTTCTTTTGATAGCGAGTCTATGTACACAATTTTTATATAGTAAAACGTATATAACACATATTCATCTTTTTGTTAAATTTTTCATATGACTTTAAACAAATGTATTTTATCTCATTGAATATGCCGCTGGACATGAGGCAAACAATTGCCATCAGTCTTATTGCACATATATACAAAGTCATGTAAAATCAAATGAATTAACTTTCTTTCTTTCTTTCTATTTTACCCCTTTTTAAGATAATATATCTGGGAGGGCAACTGTTTTGAAATCGAATGACAGACATTGCATGCAAACCAAGATGCGCCAACCGTGCCCTGTCGACGTACGTGATGTCACAGTCAGGTTTGAGTTCATACGACTCCGATCGTTTTTACTCACTTGTTTTTCTGTTTAGACTGATTACACTCACAATTACTTTCATAGCAGATGTTGCCATACTATCTTCATTGCTGGACATGTTATTGTGAAATGATATGCATCTTCCAAATTCAGTGTACATACATAAAGAAAGAATCTGTATTTTCCGTACGGTAGGGATTTCACTGTATCGTTTGTCTTGAACCGACGATTGGATAATTCTTATTTGTGTGTGTATATATATCCTCTACGATAGATAATTCAGCTGATCTGTGATATTCCATCTTCATGCCTTATATATCATGTACTGTGTACGACGCTAAAAACTGACGAGGAAAGGTAACACACGGCCACCGAAAGATTGATTTTTGTCGAGCCTAGGTGGTCGACTGGTCTAACGCGTCGGGCATAGTGCAAGGCGATTTGGTGTCACGATATCTCAGTAGCATGAGTTCGAATCCCGACCAGGGAAGAACAAACAAACAAAAATTTGCGCAAATTTACAGATCTAACATTGTTGGGCTGTTATTTAAACGAATTATATATATATATATATATATATATATATATATATATATATATATACAAGTCTAAATTGAAAACAACGTTCAAACCTATGATTGCGTTGGATAAAAACCGCAATTTTTATACGTGTGCATGCAAAACAAATTTCTTGGTAGAGGGGTCTAAATACAGCACAAACAACATTTTCCAAAAGACCAAAAAGTGAAAAAGTATATTTTAACAAAACGCATTTGACTAGCAGGTCGAACAACGGATGTTCTTAAACCCTGCTGACTGCCATGGCGATTGCCAAATAAACGGATCACAGATGTAACAAAATGGATCTTAATTTTAATCTAATACCAAATAGAAAACAAAAAACTTGCGGAAAAGATGGTATACCGCAAACATGAGGTGCAAAAATTTGTACACCATATCCGGATTTCGACAATTAATGTCTCTTCAGTGATGTTAGGAATCGAAACGGTATTTGGAAGGCCATATAATTTACCTCAATTTGGGATTGACTCTTGAATTTTGAAGAGTCGAAATAGGATGAACGGATCATATAAACCCGAAGGCAAATATAATACAAGCCCATATCCGGATTTCGAAAACCTTTGCACCTTTTGTTTGCGGTATACCATCTTTTCCGCAAGTTTTATTGTTTTCTGTTTAGTATTAAATTTATAATTAAGATCCATTTATTACATCGGTGATCCGTTTATTTGGCAATCGCCAATGGCAGTCAGCAGGGTTTAAGAACATTTGTTGTTCGACCTGTTAGTCAAATGCGTTTTGTTAAAATATACTTTTTCACTTTTTTGGTCTTTTGGAAAATGTTGTTTGTGCTGTATTTAGACTCCTCTACCAAGAAATTTGTTTTGCATGCACACGTATAAAAATTGCGGTTTTTATCCAACGCAATCATAGGTTTCAACGTTGTTTTCAATATAGACTTGTTTATATTTTTTCGTTTGGGCTTGTATTACATTTTCCTTCGGGTTTATATGATCCGTTCAACCTATTTTGACTTCTTATTAATTCAAAAGTCTGTCCTAAATTGAGGTAAATTATATGGCTTTCCAGATACCGTTTCGATCCCTAACATCACTAAAGAGACATTAACTGTCGAAATCCGGATATGGTGTACAAAAACCTTTGCACCTTTTGTTTGCGGTATACCATCTTTTCCGCAAGTTTATTGTTTTCTGTTTAGTATTAAATTTATAATTAAGATCCATTTATTACATCGGTGATCCGTTTATTTGGCAATCGCCAATGGCAGTCAGCAGGGTTTAAGAACATTTGTTGTTCGACCTGTTAGTCAAATGCGTTTTGTTAAAATATACTTTTTCACCTTTTTGGTCTTTTGGAAAATGTTGTTTGTGCTGTATTTAGACCCCTCTACCAAGAAATTTGTTTTGCATGCACACGTATAAAAATTGCAGTTTTTATCCAACGCAATCATAGGTTTCAACGTTGTTTTCAATTTAGACTTGTTTATATATATATATATATATATATATATATATATATACCTTTAAATGTCTTCATTAAATTATACAATAAACAAATTTATTCAAGCTTGCACATTAATCTTATATTTCCTGTATGTGTACGTTCGTTTTAACAATCACCAAGGACAATCAATCAACCAATCCCTATTATATACGAGTAAACGGCTATATATGGATGGATAACCCATATGCTTTGTTTTTCTATTATATAATTCGCCTCTTTAGAATCTAAAGGACTATGGGTAATCTCCATTGTTTAGTACGTTTTTAACCAATCACAATGTTTTGGTGCACGCTTTTGAAAATATTACCTTGAATGCATTAGATTCTGAAACGGCGAATTACCGTGGCGTGAATTAGTTTTTTTTTCAAATAATTTGCAATCTCAGTTACACAGTTGGCTATATTTTTTACCACTCTTTGGATCATTTAACTCATAAATTATTTACTAAATAGATAGTTGTACATCCTTGGCTTTCAAATGTTTGGGTTTCAGCGTTTCTGATGAAGGTAAATTCAGAAAAGCGTTTTGGAAGCACGAAATTTATAAAGTGCTATTTTCAGCTGCATATGGTTAATTCGCGCCATTATCACATATTTTGAAGAAAAAAACAATGCTTTGTTTTCCACATACAACTGAAAGATTCAGCAAGTTTGATTTTAGTTGTAGATATGATGTCTGCAGATCGGAGTTGCAAACGACATATCAAATGTTTTTGCCATGATTATGCATGTAATATTTGCCACTGTTGATTTATTATTCTTGCATCCCTCCATGTCTGCATGCGCCAT